ATAACTGTTGTATTTTTTGTCATGTAATGCTGCTTCTTCAGGTTTATATATTATTCTACGCCTCTTCATCATCAACAGCTATAACATTAATTATACACTTTATTAGTATTTAACTAGATCACGAATATTTTTCTTAGGATTTGATTCCATATGATTAGATATAATCATTGTGACCAAAGATAAAAACAAGTTAACAAATTATATTTTTGATGATTAAGATTTTTTTTTTCTGAATTAGAAAGGCAGGCATTAATGGTCTAAATGGTTAGGATTTCTTTCTCATGATATTTTGAAAAAATATTAAATAAATAAATTTAAAAAATAATTATTCTTAATCAAATTTCAAGTATTTAACATTTAAAGTACGAAAATTTACAAGTGTTTGTTGAAGTAGTTAATAGTTAATACCAGAGGTTTTTTGTAAATAAATAAGTTCTAAATTCGATTTATATGAATAATTTTTCCATGATTTTGTTTTTGTATACGTGTATTCTTCAAAAAGAATTTAGTTTTAAATACTCACTGAAATATAAAAGACTATATTTTTTTCTTGCTATGCATAAGCTTTTTTTTATTAGAGGCAATTATACTCAAAACACTATCAAACATTAATTGAAGCTATTGGCTTCGAGAATAGGTTTGGAAAATCCTATCTTTCCCATCCAAGGACAAAAAACAGTTTATTGTTATTATAAAATATTTTGTTTATTATTTTGCACACCAAACGATGTTTTAGGGACAAAAATCAAATTTAACATTATCCTAACTTTTGAGAACAAATTTATACCGAAGAGAATGAAATAAAAAGACCAGAAGTAAATTGTAAATTGTGATATTATTTAATTCATATTTAAATTTAATAATTTTTTTTCAATAAAAAGGAATTATAATTAAAGTTTAATTGCCATTCCTTTTTTTAATTTTTCTTAATCTTCATATATATATATATATATATATCATAGCACGCAAGATTGAGGCTAATTATCATCATGGATTATATCAGAATGGGATTTGTATATGTATTTATATGATATCTAAAATTAGTCACAAATTAATCACATCCTATGAACTCTATAAACAGTACCACCTTTATATATGTGTGTAATTTATATTGATTTGTCTGGGAACATTGGTAATATTGATGATCTTATTGTTTGACAAGCTAGCCAACTAATAACAGGCAGGCTATCCACACAAGTATTTTGTCATATGCTAGTCCTATTTTGTAGGAGGTAGGTAGCTTGTTAGGTGCTTAATTAATTATTTAAGTTCAATTAATTTATATATAGAGCTACATCCCCAAAATTTTGACATCAAATCTTGGAACACAAGAATAGCTTGTCAGTGTAAAGAATGCATCTCAAACTATATATGGTTGATCTCAGCGAAAATGAAGGGAATAGAAACGGAAAAACATTGTAATCTAACATAAGAAAAAATGCTGAAAAATTCCCCATTATTAAATTTATTATCAAAAAACATGTGAAATTAAAGGCTTAGATGTAACCTTTCTTCAACAGGTGCAACTCTGAAGGGGAGAAATGAGGGAGAAAAGAATACTAGGAAGAAAGACTGAAAAATAAGAAATTTTTTTTGCTCTTTTTGGAAGTTTTTATTCCTCTACTTTCCCCTTCATTCAGACATGGCCCTCAGTTGTGGGCAATTTATTCTCAGTGGTTTGTGCATAATTGAACATTTGTTATATAAAATTTAAGAATAATTACATTTATTGAAGACGAGTTATACTCACTCAAGCATGTAGGTCCATGAGTACTTTTACACAGTATTACCTGTGATTCTTAATATAAAATATAAAAATCAGTTTGAATTTTATTTTGATCATAAACATAAACATAACACCTCAATCTACTTTATCTCTCATATCTATTCAGTTTTTCCTTATGTACTCCTTGTAATAATAGTAGTTTTAATTAATATACTTGATTAGTAAAGATATTTTAGAAAAGATAATACCTATTTATTACAAACAATTAAACTAATTTTTTTAATATACTCAAATTAGTCAACTAGTCACGGGAGGTAATCTATTTTATAATGAGGAATTTTTCAACAATGTTTTCATCTAATATAATTTGGAAATGGGGGAGGTATCAATTCGGAACGGGGCCAACAAACCTTGTCCTCATTGGAGCAACAGATAGGTATGTACTATTATGTGGCAGGAAGGAATGAACTAAGAATCTAACACATGGCCACTGCTTATTTTTGAAAATTAAGGCAACGGGCATTTCTGTGCCAACTGAACTCTATAAAACCAGAAGGTGCATGTGCTAGTTTTCCATGCCCCTCTCTTTCTCCCTCTAAGTGACATACAAGCGTTTGAAAATTGAAATTTTGGTGAGATCTGTTTTCAGGTTGAGAGAAACAATGGTGTCAAGGGCAGAAGCAATGAAGAAGAACAACCAACAAGACCAGCAGCAGCAGAAACAGCAGATAGTGATGATGCAGTTCAACAAAGGGAAAAGTGGGAAGTTCAAGAGAAGCAGCTCAAATCTTGAAGATGATGGAGCTTCCTCTGCTATCCTCTTGCTTGCTTGCATAGCCTGTGCTCCCAATTCTTATGCCTAGATCTCTCTATTACTTTCTCACCTTCTTGTTCTTACTCTTAATTACATATAGACATATCGCTTTAGCTTCTTCTTTTCTTATTCTTATTCCTCTCTCTCTCTCTCTCTCACACCATTCTTATTATATATACATTTAACTGTATCATGGTTCAATAATCTACTGGCATTCCTTCATGCATTTCATGTATATTCTCCCCTAGCCTCTTTCTTCAACTTTTATTATAAAGTTCATAAATGAGTTAAGTTCTAAACGCTCATCTACATTAAGGTGAACCTTATGATTTAAAAAGTACCACACTTACTAAGATTGACAGTAGAAATTAGGGTTAAAATACAATTTTAACCACAATCTTATTTTTCAGGTGTAACTTTTCCCTAATTTTTTTAGTGGTGCAATTTTGACCCTGATCTAGATCAGAGACAAAATTGTACCCAAGAAAAAAAGATCAGGGATAAAATTATACTTGAGAAATAAGTTCAGGGGCAAAATTACATTACTAAAAGATTAGGAGCAAAATTGTACCTGAGAAATAAGATCAGGGTCAAAATTGCACCTTAATCCTAGAAATTATATATATGAATTTATGGATATGAACTATATACATCCTTATTACAGACTTCTGCTAATTGGCCACTCTGGGGGAGTTCTAATATGCTTAGAAATTCAGCAAAATCTCATTCTGTATAAAGTTTCTTTTTTTCAAATTTCATCGATATTTCAACGTTATGATACTCTTTCAATTGTTAATGTAAAACTTAATTTGAGAGTTGATGTTGGTCCTATATCTTAGATTTATTACGCATGTTTATCAATTTTTTTCATATTAAACCTATTGATATTCTCTCAACAATAATCAAGTAATAGAGGAAGGGAGGGAGTTAAGAAATATGATTAGAGTTTTTTTTAAAAAATATCATATTAACTAATTTAACTAACAACTTTAATCTATTCAAATTAATTAGTTAGTTCTTACATTAAGAACTGTATGATTTTTATTTATTTCAGGGGAAGCAAAACAGTGATAAGTGCAATGACACAGATCACAATCACGTGAGCTATATTAAGAGGAGAAATTATACAGATGGAAAATCATGTGAGAGAGTTATACTACAGGGGACTAAGATACAAAATGTGAAGCAGAAGAGCTTAAGTGGTCAATGGTGGTAAGGGGCCACCCTTCACTTGCTGCGAAGCCATCCTTCTCCCATAATAACAAACATTTTAGGGACAATACACAAGCGACTCTGCTTCCTAATTAAGGACCATAATTTTTCTGCAACCTTAAAAATGTTGAATTGAAAGTATATAAAGAAAATATAAATGTGCACGTACAATAATTACTGTATCACGTAAAATATAACTGACATTATTAAGTAATAATGTATTATGCAATAATAGTAAAAGTTTATCTCATTTCTTTTATATTCTCTCTGCCCCCTCTTTTTTTGTTGTCGTGGGCAACTAAGGGGTGTTTGACATTAGACAAAAATATTTTTAAAAAGTATTTTTTCGTAAATCAAGACAGACTTTTCTGTATATTTACTTTGTAGACTGTAAAATGATTTTTGAAACCATGATTTGGTTTTCATCTAAATACCTGGATATATGTGCATATAAGATATCTTCTTGAAAATAAGTTGGTCAAATTTATAAAATGTCATGTCAAACAATCAAATATTTTCCTTCTCTACCTCTAAAATGTTAACAGTGATCTCATGATTTCAGCCAAGATTTTATGATCTCTTTTGCAAATAAGGAAGATGACTAAGGGTATAATTGAAGTACATGAATTTTTTTGGGAAAATAAATCCACAAAAACGTCTAAAACATCTTATAATAAATCGGAGGGAGAAGGTATGTTGAGTATATTATTAGCTGATCATAAGAAAAGGAACACTGTTTTGTTGAACCAGCCTAGTTTGGGAAAATTATGCAATTCATTATTCAAGGGGGTCCTTTAATTAGTCCGGCTGGATTCTCTCAATTTTATTTTAGACCAAAAAGGTCACTCATTACGAATTTACATCTTTCTTATAGTCAATTTGAATTATACATTTTTTAATCAGTTAATTTATTCAAAATATATCTTTGTCTTGTTAAAAAAATTGTATATTAGGGACTAGAGGTAGTGTACATTACGAAGAGAGAAGTTAAAGTGAATCATAGCAGTAATGGTTTGCACTTAATAAAAGCAATACAAAGTTAGAGAAATTGAAGAGTCTAGATTTAGTATGATTTGTTTTATAGTTTTAATAATTGAGTTTATAATTTTGATAGATGTAGAATTTGAAAATTACTTCTTTCTTTTAAAAAATTACTTTTACCGTTAAAAAATATGGTTTTAAACCCAGAAAAACACATGCACCACAAAGCAGCAGCAAGAAAACATTTAGGAAAAATTAATTTGCAGGTCCTTACAGTTTCCTTCTATTTTAGATGTCCTTGTGCTTTTTCTACTCTTTAATAGATCTTTTAACTTTCTACTGTTAGGCTCTGTTAGTACCTGCTGTCGAATAAACATGAATGCCGTCAATGATTTTCATTAGGAATGACTGAAACATCTCCTCCTTTCGCCATAACTCCATATCTAAGCAAGCACTCCTCTCTCCTTCATTCGTGCCACTCCAGATTATAGAAAGCTGCGAAGAAATACATTCCAGGTGCTTTAAGGTCAAGTCGGAAGCCGCTAATGTCCTCATCACCATCGTCCACGTCTGTAGTTTTAGAGGCTGAACAGAAAGAGCTGCTAGAGTTTATACTCTCCAATCTGTCCCTGGAGAAGAGCTTTGGGTCCTCTGCAACAACAAGGTATTCGTTTGGATTACTGCGACCAGCCAACATCTTGAATGTTTCCAAAGCGGGCAGAGATGCACTGAAGAAAAAAATAGGATCGCAGTTTGAAGAAGCTATACTAGATTATCTTCTCATACCAAGCTATTCATACCTTAATGAAACACCCCACGAAGGAAAATTGTGTGGAAGGAATTCTGACCCACTTTTTGGCAAGTTTAAAAGAAAGAAATGTTGTTACAGTGGATGGTGATGATGGTGTCATCATGACGCCGGCATTAATGGTTGTTGGGATGCTTCTGAAAATAAAAAATAATAATGAATAATAAGAGGCAGCTAAAACTAGTCTCTAACCTGTTTTTTAATACTAAAACAAGGGAGTCCGTCCTTCACTTTTTTTGTTTTAAATTCTTTATTCATATACTCTCCGCATATATTGTTTCAATTTCTTCCTTAATGTGACCATCCTATATATAATACATGCTCCTACTAACACTTACATTCTTTTTCATGTAATTCTATATAAAGTAATATATAATATACATAATTTTACAAGTAAAGATGATATATACTGAAGTTAAAATTATATTTCGTGCTGCTTTATATGTCTTACATATATTGAGTTTAGAGACACCTTTTCATCTCATCATTCTCCAAATGTATTCCTCACTCTAAGCTCTTCCAAGCTTTTAGGTTATCTTTTTTTTTCCCTCTCATGTTGTTCTGTTACATGACTGTCTGACAGGAGTCGAGCTGGATGGCGAAGGGAAGGTGGCCGCGGAGATGGCTGTAGAGGATTCCAGTGACTTTGTGACCAAGGAAAGCAAAGGTGTTATGTAGAGTAGGAAAGTCATTTACTGGCTGAGAGGATGGTGAAAAGAGACATGGTGTTGGGAATGAGCCAAGGAGAGAACAAGGTTTGCATGATCCCAGCGCCACGGTGGAGGGAGAGAAAAGGTGATGTTTCAAAGGTGGCTAGCGGAAACTAGTAACAACATTAATGCTTATTTAACAGATTTAACCCTTAGGGGAGTAACGGATTTAACCTTGGAAAGTTCAAGGATCTAATAAATAAAAAAATAAAAAGACCTAATTCAAAATGAAAATAGACTATAAGGATCTTCACCTTAATTTTCTCCAAGACTACTACATCTTGTCATGTTAATTGAGACGGTCTCAGGTTCTCTGAGTTTAATTAATTATGACACCACAATCCAACCCATATTCATCAACCCGAAACTATTACTTGTATCACATCATTCAAAGGAGGCCCTTCTCAAGCCGAATGCTTCTGGAAGCTTCAACAAATACGGTTCCCTTCCATCAAGACCCCAGTACGCTTGCTCAGTAAATTTTTTGGGCAAAACACATTTTGAAGTAGAACGTCAGCATACAAATGGGGCGCCAATAATTAACTAAACCCTCAATCCGCTAGATTAGTAATTGTACCTCCCTCTCCGTTCTATTTTTCGGCCTGCAGTTGTACTTTCACGTAATTAGGAATTAGAAACTGAAATAATTCAGCTCGTTTCCAGTCCTTCACATAAAACCTTATTTAAATTTTAATTTTAGATATAAAATTATAAGTTAATTTCTTTTCTAAGTAAAAAACCACTTTATATTACAAGAATATTTTTTAAAAAAACACCCATTTACTACAAATAATTAACTTATTTTCTTCATCTACTTAAATTAGTTAACTAACTCTTATATTGACTATAAGACCGAAATAGTATCCACCAAGGTATTGCTTCAATATACTCGAGAGACACGGCACAACCTTGTACATTTTATAGTACTCTCCATAGGCTAAACCGCCATAATTTGAAATTAACAAAAATCAGAAACGGAGAGACGAAAACCATCTGACATCATAAGTCAAAGACATACGGGTATAGAAATTCAGAACCTCCAGTTTCCTCCACAAAAGAGGCAATCAAAACGATAAAGGCCCAAGAAACAACGAAGGATGCAGCAGGAAACCATTTATTTGGAACTCTCAAACCTCCATGATAACATGAAGCTTGAGCGCGACTACGCCAAACTTTATAAAGACAAGCACTCAGCAGGCTACTTGCAGTGCCGGCTTAATGAGCTTTGGCCATGTGAGTAATCAAGTCAACAACGCGTGTGCTGCAGCATTAAAAACAAAGCAAGCATTAGATATCTACCACTTAACCCTTCCCCTGACCAACTTTAAAGGTACCGCTACCATGCAATAGTAAGAGATCATATGCCAAAAACAAGAAAGATGAATTACCTGTAACCCCACTCGTTGTCATACCAAGCAACAAGCTTCACAAAGTTATCGTTCAAAGCAATACCTGCCTTAGCATCAAAGATACTTGACCTGAAAGGGGGGAAAAAATTAACATACAACTCCTAGCTCCAAGGAAATACACGGATCCAAAGAAGACAAGACAGAATTTGATGAATTTAACAACTTCAAATCAGATGATGATCCGCACCTGCTGTCCCCAACAAAGTCAGTGGAAACCAGATCTTCTTCAACGTAACCAAGGATTCCCTTCAACTTGCCCTGGGACTCCTCCCTGAAAGACAGTAGCATCGAATCAGACAAGCCAGAATGAGAGTAATCCCAAAAACATTCCAGCTAATATCAAAGAGTTCAACGATCAAATAAAAATTAACTATAAGAATTGCTTCGAGAATAAAATCTTACTTGATGGCAGCTTTAATTTGGTCATAGGAGGCTGCCTTTTCCAGCCTCACAGTGAGATCAACAACAGAGACATCCACAGTAGGAACACGGAATGCCATTCCAGTCAATTTTCCATTCAAAGAAGGAAGAACTTTCCCAACAGCCTGACGCAAACAAGAGTATATCAGTGGAGGAGACCAGACAAAGGTAACAGCTAACAGTAATATATGAATGCCAATTATTCACCTTGGCAGCTCCAGTGCTGCTCGGAATGATGTTAAATGAGGCAGCTCTTCCGCCCCTCCAGTCTTTACTTGATGGCCCATCAACAGTCTTCTGGGTAGCTGAGCGGCAATATAGCATGAAAGTCACAATTACTCTTAGCACACAAAAATGAGAAATGCTAGTTGTTACAGTTAATTATACCCACCAGTGATGGAGTGAACGGTGGTCATTAGCCCCTCAACAATGCCAAATCTATCATGAATAACCTACAATTGACAAAGGAAGATTAATATAACAGAACAGTATGGCATACAAATACAGTATAAGCATCCGAAGGCCTAATAACCTTGGCAAGTGGAGCAAGGCAGTTGGTTGTGCAGCTTGCATTGGAGACAATATTCAGTTCCGGCTTGTATTCGTGCTCATTTACACCTACGACAAACATGGGAGCATCTTTACTAGGGGCAGATATGACAACCTTCTTTGCACCACCCTGGCTCAAGCAAAACAAAACAAAGAAATAATCATTTCACGCAATCCTCACAAATCCAAACGGTGATAAAACACCATTGAAAAAGAAATTATAAGCAAAGTGTATATAACACTGCATTTTTGACATGCTTATAGCTAAGCTTCAAGACCCAGCGCCAATCAGTCCCAAAAGATGTTACATAAGAAAAGATAACATTGAAAGTTATACCATTAAACAAACGTTTAAAATAAGCTTGTATGAGCAAACGACAAATACTAAGGGCATGAGAATGGGCAGTGCACAAAAGGCAAACCTTCAAATGGGCAGCTGCCTTCTCCTTGTCAGTAAAGACACCGGTGGACTCAACAACAAACTCCGCTCCAGTCTCAGCCCAGGGGATCTCTTCCGGGTTCCTGATACACGAAGTTACAAGGTTAACGTACAATCTTCACCTTCGAGACGTAGGGTTAAAATTTACCAGCACAACCATAAGAAAATTTCTAGAGCATCACCTGTGAGCAAACACAGTGACGGCCTTTTCACCGAAAAGAAGGGTTTTAGAGTCCTTGACCGTGATATCGTGATGTTTCCACTGCCCGTGAACACTGTCGTACTTGAACATGTAGGTCTGACAGGCACGAGGAACGATCGCTCAGAAAAAAGTAAAAGAAAAAAGGTGGGCCAAATTCATAATTGTATTCGTACAGCAGAAAACATGTTGAGCAAGTCGACAACTGAAGACTACCAACTTAAACTGAACACGCATCATATCAAAGGAAAAGCTGAACGAAACAGAACCAAAATCGATCAGAGAGCTAATCACAGCTGAGTGACGACAATTCCACACATCAGGTGATGTAACATGAACATAGACAACGCTAATGTATACCATGTAGTCGGTAGAAATGAAAGGGTCATTGACAGCAACGAGTTCGATATCGTCTCTCTGCAGAGCCACTCTTGCCACCAAGCGACCAATCCTTCCAAATCCTGGAAGCGAAAACACAAACGAAAACAAGAACTCGAATCACTTCAGGAAGTCACTGATAAATCAAATATCCATATTAAAAAACAAAACAAAATAGACCCGATCTGAGCGAACGAGCAGAAAATGAAACCAGAGGATGTAGATCATAGAAGAAGATCACCTACCATTGATTCCGATCTTGATCTTGCCTGATTTCAAACGAACAAAAACAAGAATGAAATAGGATCAGATCAGAGAAGATAAAGTAGAATAATGAATGAAAATAAAGTAAAATCCATGAAATAGCAGTGATTACCCATAGTTGCACAGGGTGGAGGGTTCTAGGCCGAGAAGACACAGCAGAGCAGAAATGAGAAAGCAGCGGAAGACAGCAAAGAAAAGTAGTCTTAGGGTTTGATTTATTTAAAGCCCGAAATGACTGGTGCTGGACGCTGCTGGCTGGTAAGAGGGTCCCACTCACATCACACTACTACGCCGCATTACCGGCGCATGACCCATGATGCCGTTCCTTACTTTCTGGCCGCCTGATTGACCCTTTTTTTTTTTAAACCAGATTTTCTATTATTTTGATCAGAGGAAAGAGCATCCTAGGAATGGTAAACCTAGTTATGAAAGGAAGAGATTGAAATTATGAAAAAATTGCCAAAAAAAAAATCGTTAAAATTAAAAAATTACATACAAAGACCTGTTCATAAACTTATTATCAAAACCCATACTTTTTTTTTGACCGGAATTTATCAAAACCCATACTAATACTATCATAAGTCCCAATTTATAATTTTTTTTATTTTGATGGTCCTTTTTTTGTGATTTTTCCTAAAATTATTTACGTTATACGTTTTTTCCAATTGAAAGAAAACGAGACCAAGGATCTAGATTGTTAGTGCTAGAGAGGTCAAGAGTCTTACTCACCCTCGCTGTTCCGCTACAAAACCGGCGTACGGCCCATGGTGCTGTCCCATGGTTTTAGGCCGCTTGATTTTCTTTTATTATTTTGATTATTGATTATCGATCATGGGAATGCGTATTATTATTATTATATTGTTCCAAATCTCTCTTTTTCTTATTATATATTTTCAAAAATAAAATAAATTATTTACATAGTCTCATATCTGTTACTTTTTTCCGAATGAATTGTTGTATTTTTTGTTGATAATTAAATCTCTATTTTTCTTAAATATTCTCATTGAAATGTATTGTATGGTTAGAAAAATAGGTATAAATGATAAAAGACGAAGAGACGCTGAGAAGGATCTGGAGAGGGGGGATTCGGAGGACACATCACGTAGTGGAGAACTGGGAGGTTCATATTGAACGACACGTTGCTCTCAGCTTTTGAAAACTTTAGGGGTTCCGAATTGGAAGCAAGAGACATTGGCCATTTGGCTGTGAGATCAGCCACGTCTGAGATGTCAACACCCAACCCAACCCAACAAAGTCAGAAAAGCCGGAATATCATGGGGACTGGGGAGCTTGTGCGGGCAATCTGAAATGTTCCATTTATCTCTACCGCGTCAATAATTTGATCCCCTTCACAATCACTGCGTAACATGAAAGCTTGGCTTTCCAACAATTTGCAAGGTTATGAATTTAATCTTACACTAGGAGCATCTGGAATAACCCTTAGAAAAAAACACTTTTACGCAAGTCAACATAAAACTTTTTTCACATATTTACATCGTAAAATCATTTCTAATAAGCTAATTCACCCTCATACTGTGAATGTCTGATCCTCTGATATTATTATAGGCTTCATTTAACATTATAATTTTGGTAATTGGAAGCCTTTCTTACCTGGTCAACCAAAATAAACAAACAACGCTGCTGCTATCAAGACAACTTGTTGTTGA